ACTCCCCTCCGCTTTCCTTGAAAAGCAGTATCTGCAGTGGTTCAAGCATGAGCTCTGGAGTCAGCCTGTCCGGGTTCCTATCCTGGCTCCACCACTTACTGGTGTCAGGACCCTGAGATAGTTAAACCTTAGTTCTTTCATCTGAAAAAGGGAGCGAACAACGGCATCTACCTCAAGGGCTGTTGTGTGGATTGAATTAACAAACGCAACGTGCTTCAAGCTGTAGCAGCACACGGTATGCACTAAGCAGTGTCTGCTATTTTCTTTTGTTATTTTGTGTTGTTCTTTAATTTCTCAAGCCGAATTCTCGTTCATTTATTGTCAGTCTTTGTTGTTTAATAATAGAGACACGTAAAACTATAAACTTCCCCTCCGAGTACAATTTTGGCACAATCCCTTAAGTTTTCATATTAATTTCCTCATTGTTTTTACTTTTTAATTTTACCTTTGGTTTTTCTTTTGTACAGTTACAGGAAAGTATTTAATAATTCTGATGTGATTGATTAGACGATCTAGCAAAGAGTGAGAAAGACGTGTTAGGATTTCCTACGATTATTGGTTTAATCTAGTTCTATTTGTGTTTCTAACAGTCTTTTCTTTGTCTATTTTGATGCAACATTAACTGGCTCGTGAATGCTGTCTGTTCCATGTTCACTTTATCAACATCAAAATTTTTTGATCTATTTGTTCTGAATTGTATTCTGTCTGATTTTCATACAGCTTCCTTTTTATTTGCAGTTACCTTTGCCTTGCTTTGGAATATTAGCTATTTTTATTACCTCCTTTAGGGTTCATAGTGAAATAGCATTGTTGGTGTCCCACTGGAACTGTGGGTTGGTATACACACTTCCTGCAGGTGCAACATGACCTAGCATCTCTCTGACCCCAACTGGCACTTTGAGCTCCCTCCCCTGAAAGCCCATGGCGAACATGTCTCTTGCTGGGGAGGAGGGGAACTCTGGGGTATTTCTTACCCCTTAATTCAGCAATTGGTTTTACTGATGAACATATATTACATGATTATTTTGTTTATAATATATAATATTATATACATATTATATAATACAGATTATACATATATATATAAGCTGACATATACAAAAGCAGCATCAAACCACAACAAATCCCCCTAAACCCCCAGTTGGAGCAGGCCTGGGCAGCTTACCACACAGACTTTAGGGGTTTATATGCCTTGAAAGGTGAAGAGGGAAGGAGGTGAGGCCCTCAGAGGCTCTTGGAAGAATGCATTGCATTTTCCCACGAGCAACGACCTCACATATGCAATTGTCATGTGGCCGGAAACCCTCATGCCTTCCAACTGGGATGTCATGTCATTATTGGGCTTTTTAAGTGTTTTCACTCACTTTTAAAGTCTGATTTTATCCTTTTTACATATATTGTTACTAAGCTCTCTGGCCTGCTCCATCTCATTTTATGTGGCATTTAAGGCTTCTATGTCAGTTCTTTGGTTTTAGTTTTAGTTACATTGATTGCATTGTCTTTGCTTTTATAGAGCCTCTGGGGTTTTAGAAGATATATACTAAGGTTTCACTTGACTAGTAGTTACCATTAAGGCTCTCCAAGCCATTCTATAACGCGTTTCTCTAGCACAGTAAAGACTAAAACCATGTATATTTTTGAGTTTACCTCCTATTTAAAACAAGATGTTTGGTATACTTTGAACTCTTCCACTTTCTTCTTCTTTTTTGATATTACAATCTAGGGCTTTAGATTTGGATAAATATCACTATCTTTTACAAACATTTTTTATTGCTTTTGGCTTATAAAATGTATAACTAGAAATACAACAATTGTTTCTATTTTAACAGGTTTCAATTTCATTGCTAGTCTGTTTATATTATGGCTTTCTTATTTTTTCTTTTTTTATTGTGGTAAAATATAGGTAATATAAAATTTGCCATCTTAACCATTTTTAAATACACAGTTCTGCGGCATTAAGTACACTCACATTATTGTGCAACATGTATCACCACCATCCATCTCTAGAACTTTTTCATCTTCCCCAATGAAACTAGTGTTACCCATTAAATACTAACACCTGATTCCCTGCCCCGTAGGCCCTAGCAACCACCATTCTCCTTTCTGTCTTTATGAATTTGACTACTCTAGGGACCTTATATAAATGGAATCATACAATAATTTGTCCTTTTGTGACTGGCTTATTTCACTTAGCAAGATGTCTTCAAGGTTTATCCATATTTTAGCATGTGTCAGAATTTCTTCCTTTTTTTTTTTTTTTTAATTTGAGGATGGTTAGCCTTGAGCTAACATCTGCTGCTAATCCTCCTCTTTTTGCTGAGGAAGACTGGCCCTGGGCTAACATCTGTGCCTGTCTTCCTCTATTTTATATGTGGGACGCCTGCCACAGCATGGCTTGCCAAGCGGTGCTATGTCCGTGCCTGGGATCAGAACCGGCAAACCCCAGGCTGCCAAAGTAGAACGTGCGAACTTAACCACTGCGCCACTGGGCTGGCCCCAGAATTTCTTCCTTTTTAAAGGCTGAGTAGTATTCCATTGTATGTATATACCACATTTTATCTATTCATCCATCCATTGACACTGGGTTGCTTCCACCTTTTGGCTGTTGTGAATAATGCTGCTATGAGCACGAGTGTACAAATATCTGTTCAAGACCCTGCTTTCTATTCTTTTGTGTATATATCCAGAAGTAGAATGGCTGAGTCATATGGTAATTCTATTTTTAATTGTTTGAGGAATCATCATGTATTATGGATTTCTTATTTTTGAACTCAATTTTGCTTCATCTCCTGAACTCAGGAGGGATTTATGAGGAATTTATTTCTGATGTTGCATATTTTTCTGTTGCCTTTGTAAATAAAGACCATCTGGTATAAAATTCCTGGGTCACAGTGCTTTCTCCTGACACTCTGCACACACTGCCCCGCGTCTTCTGGATTCAGTGTACAGATGACAAGACTGAGCCCCTCTGTCATTTATTCTTTTTTAGTAACTTTTTTCCTGTTCTTGGATGCTTATGAAATTTTTTAAAGTTTCTTTGTAGAAAAAAGAAAATAAAAAAAATTGCAGGCGTGGATCCCTTTGCTTGAAACGGTGAGTCTCTTTAATCTGCAGACATATTTTTACTCACCGGAGGCAAATTCCTTTCTTTATTTACTTAATATCACTTCTTTTGCATTTTCTTAGTTTCTCCTGTATAAGCAACAGTTAGTGACTTCTGCACTCTCCATTCGCTATTCCCCTTAAACAGGATTTTTTTCACACCTCTCACCTTTTCATCTATATCAGGAGATAACAAGCCACAGCCCACAGCCTGTGAGCTAAGAGTGGTTTTTACATTTTCAAAGGGTTGTAAAAGAAAAGACAACAACAAAAAGAAAAGAATATGCAACAGAGACCATATGGCCTGCAAGGCCTCAAATGTTTACCAGCTGGCCCTTTGCAGGAAGAGTTTGTCAGCCTCTGATCTCCATGCTTGGAGAGCGTCTCCGCCTTCTTCTGGCATCTCTGCCTCTGCTTCCTCTCCGTGTGGTTTCTGCCGAGTTAGTTCTCTCCCACTGCCGCCAGCGAAGATCTGAATTTCGCTCTTAACAGTTTTAGTTCTTTGCAATCTTCTTCACGTCTTCTTTTCCGCTTGTCTATTCATCTCAACCTCTCCTCTTTCTATGGCTTTTGTTCCAGATTCACAGAAGTTACTCTCCTGAGCTCCTGACATGGGCTTCTGCTGTCTGTCTGCCTTGTCCTCAGCACTGTCTCCGAAGGCTCCTTGATGCTCTGTTGTTTTGATTGGGCATTCCCTCTTCATGCACGTTGGCACATGGTAAGATATGGCCATCTCGGCGTTCCACAACAAAGTTTATAAATTGCCCTTGGTTCCCCCGCAACTACCCACGTGCCCATCAGACACCTGTCTTGCACGTACTATCTGCCCCCGCTAATCCAGCTCGCAGCTTCTGGCTGACTTTCCACAGAGCGGGAGTCAGCACACTACTGTCCATGGCTTCTAGGCCCCACTAGCTAAGGGTGGTTTTACAGCTTTGAAGGATTGTAAAACAGAAACAAAAAATATGTGACAGAAACTGTTGGTGGTCCACAAAGCCTGAGATATTTCTTATCTGGTCTTTTATTGAGAAATCTGTGACCACTGCCTTAGAGTCTCTCTCTTCTCTCACCTCCTGCCTGGCCTTCTGAACTGATGGAGTGCATCCCAAACCTACGAATCCCCACAGGCACTGCCACCAGCGTCCTCCCATCTCAGCTCCTGCCTGTGGGGCCTATTCAGCGGGGCTTCATCTCAGAAGCAACCAACTCACCCTAATTCTTGGCAACTTGCTTTCTGCATGATGCTGTTTCCATACAGAGACAGAAAGATGCCTGGAGTGGCTGTGGATGCAGGGGGCGGCTGTGGATGCAGGGGGTGGCTGTGGATGCAGGGGCTGGCTGTGGATGCCTGGGGTGGCCGTGGATGCAGGGGGCGGCTGTGGATGCAGGGCATGGCTGTGGATGCAGGGGGTGGCTGTGGATGCAGGGGCTGGCTGTGGATGCAGGGGGTGGCTGTGGATGCAGGGGCTGGCTGTGGACGCAGGGGGCGGCTGTGGACGTAGGGGGCGGCTGTGGATGCAGGGCGTGGCTGTGGATGCAGGGCGTGGCTGTGGATGCAGGGGGCGGCTGTGGATGCAGGGGGGCGGCTGCAGATGCAGGGGGCGGCTGCGGTGGAGTAGGAGGCAGGGTGCTGGGAAACAGGGACCTCACAGCTTAGTACCTAGGAGTTGGAGGGTTGCCTAATTTTCAGATTACTGTGAACTCTTGATATCTGTATTGAGGGTCAGAAATGGGGGATAAAACAAGTCTTCCTATTTCCCACATTTTTTCTTTGTTTTGTAGAAAGGATTCCATTGCAAAAAAAAGTGGTAAAATCACTCAGTGAAGGTTTAAAGACAATAGGCTAACGTGACAATCTATTAATATCATAAGCCAAAAAGCACAGTCATTAATGTTACCTGTAATCATGTATTATTTTTCTTGCATTCTCTAGTTGTTCGTTGGTTAACAAAATATTCCTGGGATCAGTTACAGTGAAGAAATGATTGGCTCGTCCCACAAATGTGCTTTGATCCCATCGAGGTTCCTTGATGTTGATGTTCAGCGGAAGTTCTCCAGACATCGTCCTGGGCTGGAGGAGGGTCAAAAAGACAAGTCTAGTTAACATTTATAATGCTGCTACACATTTAGAAACTTCATAGTCACGCTAATCTTCAAGTAAAGATTTGAGCACATTGCTATTTACAAAAATAACTTTGCTATAAATGGCAGAAAGACAATCTAAATCCAAAGCGAATTTTGTCTACAAATCTCAGTTGATCTTAACCAAATTTCAGTAATTTCCCACATATTTCTCTTTGTAAGTACACTGTATTTTATCATTCCTTACTTTCGGAAATCTAGAAAATTGTAGAAAAACTAGAAATATAAAAAGTTAAAAATACATCAACAGTAACAGGGTCTGAAATTTGAAACCCTTTTCCTGGGTGAAATAACCAATGTCAAACTACTACTGTACTCTGGTTTACTGAATTTGTTATTTCTACCAGTAGAAGTGACTAATTGTGCAAAAAAAGGCTTAATTGCTAAAAATTCTATAATTAAAAAACATTCAGATTCATTCAGTCTAGTTCAGCATATAAAGTGCCAATTGAAAACGAAAAATTATGTTCTTAAATCTAACTGGGACATAATGGGAAAAACACATTCTGACAACCCCCTGAACAGGAATAACATTGCAGCATATAATTTCCCTCATAAAACTCCTATTTTCTGGCTAAGAACCATTACTTTTTTCCAAAAGCAACTAATTTCTTTCTCTGAGTAATACATGCTTATCTTTGGAATGGCATTGTATTGTAATATGTGCTTACTGTAACATTCTGAATAATATAAGCTGATTATAGGAAATAAAGAATAAAGAAACAAAATCTCCTATAATTCAGCCACACTGAAGTAACCACTGTTGTTTTAGTCCATTTCCTTGCAGACATTTTCTAAAATATTATCATATAATAGAAAAAAATAAAGTTGATGCCATACTCTATATCTTACTATCCTGATACTTTTTGCACTTACTGCATGAATTTTCCCCAGGGTACTAAGCACTCATTTTGGGAATATAACAACACCTCTAGTGTTTATGTCATTTTCAGTTTTCACAAGGATAAGTGACGCTGCATCCTTGTCTATGAGTCAGCCCCTTGTAGCTGGTGATTGCCTTGGACCAGATCGCTCTGCACAGCATCAGAAGGTCAAAGGATGCAGCCACGATGAAGGCTTCACACCATCACTTTCTTATTCCTGTTTCCCTTTCCTGCATTTCTAACACCAGTTCTCATAGCAGTTTTCTTTCCTAGGTCATTTTTCACTAGGCTGTTTCTTAGTGCTTTACTAGTTCCCAGGCACGCTAAGATGTCAGGTGCAGATGCTAGGCACTCCCGTCATTCGTCCTGTATCACAACCTCAAATGAATACATCTCATGCCACTGGATCAGCATCGAGCATGTGAGGCCCATGGATCTGAGCAATCTAGTGCAGGTGAAAGAGCCGGTCAGTGAGAGTGAGGAAGTAAAACTCAGCCCCACCATACTCGCGCAGGCTGGGACAGCTTGCACAGAGAAAGCCAGCTGCAGAGTCTGTGGGAAGCCATACTTCTCCCAAGGTCACAATGCAGCCAGAGAGTGTCACAACCCCCTTCTTTGAGTGACCACTGCTTTCTTATCTCACTGAGAAACCTTATTCTCTATAATCACAGACCACTGGGAACTGTGCTGTCTGAAGCCAGAACAGGAAGAAGGAAGCACCCCACTCGATGGAGCAGAGGAGCCAGGATTTACAATCCAGGGGTGGGGTCTCCGATTAGAGAGTCTCTGGACTCGACATTCCACGTCTTTCTTAATTTGTAGTTTCCAAGGAAACAAGGCTGCGGGTCCACCTCACGGTCCAGACCTTTACACCCAGCCCTGCTGTGAGCCGAACAAAGCTGCTTCATTAGACTTCGTCTGAACCCTGCCATTCTCCAAGGCGCTCTAAAAGACCCCTCTCCCCTCTGCTGGTGAGAGACCCCCGGTTCCTCTGGCGTGTGGTTGCAATAAACCAAGAAACAACTTCCTTAGACGACAGGTTTGTCCCTGCTGGTTTTCCGCCGATTGTGCTATGATAAGAGAAATGTCTGGACTTCAAATTAGAACACATCAAAGTCATGCATGTTTAATAAGTCCAGGGATACAAGAAATAGAATGGACATCAAAGAGCTGTGTCATTGTATGCAGAAATATCTAAATTTCAAATTAGAATACATCAAATGCATTATTTATAAAACATACAAAACACCAAACAAAATTCCAGTTCGTACCAGGGGGCAGAGCTTCTAGACTGGTCTGCAGGGACGTGAGGCTCTTCGAGGTTCCACAGCGGCCTCCCGGAGCACGGGGATGCAGGCCGGGGGGCTCCGAGCCCCTGAGCTTGCACTCAACTAGAGCAGGTGTGCTTGTATTCGCCGTCTACATCCGGGTTTTATCGCAGCGATCATTTGAAGAGAGACTTCTACTGCTTGGGGGGAAAAAAAGACAAAAGTAGAAAAAGCTGAAAACTACTACAAGAGAAGACTATGAAAATCCACGAGATGATTCATAAAGTTCCAGAAGGTCCCAAAATTTCTCAATCTTTTTTTCACGCCAACTTCATACGTCAACCCTGGTGTCATCTGACCAGCACTTCTCAAACCACACGTGGGGAAGAACCTGCTCTGGTTTTTCTAATTTCCAATCCCTATCATGAACCAATACTTTCGTAAAATATATTAAAAACGAATTTTGAGACAAATTAAATGAAAATGTTAGCTATAAAATAAAAGCCCTAATTTTTTATTATTAGATTCAGCAACTATAATATGACTCTGTCACATTGTTAAGAAAGTTTCTAAAATGCTTACTTTCAATTTCTGTACTTACCTCAATGCGGACCTGTAAGAAACAGGTCCCACTGGCCTTGTCCACGGGTTATAACTTGAATGTACACTTATGTGTATAGTTCACAATTTGTTTCTACACTTAAATGTCACCAAATAATTGCTACATATAATTATGCGGATAATCGGGTCTTATCCCCTCCCATTTCTGAATGGGTGAATAAAAGCAACAATTCATACTCTCAGTTAGACCAAAGTTTAAACAGAAGAAATTCTTAGCAGGACAAATCTTTTAGCTTTGTTTTTTCTTTAAGGTCTAGAAAATGCTGCTGCCTTTAGTGTTCTCCTATTAGGCACCTACCATATGACACATTCTTGGGCTCCATCAGTGAACAAAATTAGCAATTCCTGCCCCAGTGGAGCTGACATTGGGATGGTGGGGATGGAAGAGGAGACAGGCAACAGCGCAAAACATCAAAGGCAGATCAACTGTTCATTATATCAGAAGGTAATAAACGGTGTAGGGAAATAACAGAAGGGATAAGAAAGATCTGAGGACAGACTGCCTCTTTAAATAGGGTCATCGGGGTGGGCCTCATTGAGAAAATAACATTGGAGCAAGACCAGAAGGAAGTGGAGGGCTGAACCACGTGAGTATCTGGGGGAAGAGCAGAAGGAACAGACATTGCAAAGATCCTAAGGCAGGAAAGTGTCTGGTGTCTTCAAAGAACAGAAAGAAGGCCTGCAGCTGGAGGGGAGTGAGGAGGACAGACAGGGGATGAGGCGGTCAGACAGGTGATGGTGGGACACTGAAGCTGGAGCCAGACTCTCTGGGGCCTTGTGGCCTCTGTAAGGCCTTTGCATTTTACTCTGAAGGAAATGGCAGTCACTGGAGTGTTCTGATCAGAAGACTAAAATTTAAAAGGACTTACAATTTAAAAGGCTCTCTCTGACCGCTGTGTGGAGGATACAGTGGGAGATAGAGCAGACGCAGAAGAGCAATTGTGAAGCTCCTGCTGTAATCCAGGAGAGAGCTGGTGGAGGCGCAGGCCGGGGATGGTAGGAAGGAGTGGTGAGAAGTGCTGACATTCTGGATATTTTACTGATGGAGCCAACAGGATTTCCTGACAGCTTGGATGTGCGGTATGAGAGAAAGAAAAAGCATGACTCCCAAGGCGTTTCGTTGGAACAACCGGAGGAGGAGCAAGTCTCAGGGAGAAAACAGGAATCAGCTAGGACGGATTAAGTCTGAGATGCTCAGGAGACGTCCAAGCGGAGACGTCCAGGAAGCGGCTGAGCAGGTGAGTCTGGAGTTCAGGGGAGAGGCCCAATCAGGAGATAGACATCTGGGCATGGTCCGCACTGGGACTGTATCTAAAGTCACGCCATGGGGTGGGATCACCTAGGAAGCGAATGAAAATAGAGAAGAGCTCCAACGACTCCGCGTTCAGAGGTCAGAGAAGTCTAACAGCGGAGGAGGCTGAGGGAGGGACCAGTGGTGGGGAATCTGGAGAGTGTGGTGTCCTGGAAGGCAGGGGAAGCGAGGCTAGCGCAGTCCCATTGGCCAAAAGGAAGAACACCTTGGCAGGTGCTTACTCCCATTTTGGGCTAGTGAAGAGAGAGGGATATAACTCCCGAGGGCCAGCCTAGGGGTGGGAACACTGCAAAGACAGTCACCTTTGTAAGTTCTGAAACTTCTAAGCAACGGTCGTAGCAAGTCGGGAGAGACTGCACGGCCGGTTAGATGCCCCTTCTCTGGGAACTGTTTATTCCTGCAAAGCCCCTGGCAGAGACCGGTGGTTCCTAACCCATGGCACACATGGAAATCACCCAGAGAGCTTTCAACAAAGACAAATGCCATCCCCCTTCTCAAGATTCTTGTTCAGCAGGTCTAGCATAAGGCCGGGCGTGTGACTCCGCAGGCACTCTGGGCCTCACCCCCGGCTCTCTAGGCACCAGGCTGTGGCTATACATGAAGCTGGGAGCCGTTTCCTGCCTGCATCTTTCTCTGCACTGCCTGTGCCCTCTCTCCGGCCTGAGCAATCTGCCGTGTTCCCCAGCGGATATCAGACGCGGATTTTTCTCATAAAATTGAGCACCGAGTAATTTTTCTTCCCTTTCAAGTATAATTCTCACTGTCGCTATTTCTCCTTTACGCTTCATACAAATAGTTTTTAAAAATTACAAAGTAGCTTTCATAGAATTCTAGTTTTAATAACAAACCATCACCAATTTGTTAAATATAAGCAACATTTAGGTCAAGTTGTGGCAAACATGATCTAGTTTTAAAATATGACTACTTTATAAAATAAAAATGTTCTAATAGCATAAGAGCTGGATAGGATCTTAAAATGAGCCACCATTTTAAAGCTCACCATATAGATGAGGAAAGCGAGGCCCAGACAGAGAAGTGACTTCGTGGGCTGTGTGACCGGTGCTGGGGTAGAAGAAAGTCTGGGAGGTCCCAAAGTGGGAGTGGACTCCCAGCCCTGCCAGGCCATGCTTTGTACTCTACTACTCACTTTTAGCTGTTTTATTCCCTCAAATATATCAAGTGCTGTCTCCACAGAATTGGTCTCTTTGAGGCCCTCCTTTTTCCTTTGAAATAAAAACCAGTCTACTGACAATGCGCAGTTCTGACCACGATAACCCCGGGGTGGCTCCGCAGCGCGTGTGAGCAAGGAGACCGGCACGGAGGCCTCACGAAGACTCTTCTTCGACAGGCAGAGAAACAGGAGAGAGATGGAGAAAGGAACCACGACATTTCTGGAGATTGTGTCACATACAAGGAACTGTGCTAGAGGTTGTCTAAGAGCGAGCTCCTGCCGTGCGCCAGTGCAGAACATTCTATCTCAGTTTTCACAATGGTGTGCTTTATGCCCACGGTGCACAGTTTCCAGAAGAGGAAAGTAAGATTCTGAGATGTCACACACATCCACCCCTTGTCTATCCAGCAAGGGAGGAAGCAGGCTTATTTTCAGACTTCAGGCCACGCCCACTAAAACAACACTGAGAGCTCGGATCGACTGGCTTGTATGTGGTGGACAGAATGACAGGCCCCCCAGGAGGTCCACATCCTAATCCCCACGCACGGTGAATATGTTACCTCATATGGCAAAGGCACTTTGCTGATGTGAGGCATTTAAGGGTCCTGAGACTGGAAAACTGTCCTGGACTACGACGGCGGGCTTGATGTAATCACAAGGGTCCCTACAAGGGAAGGAGGCAGGCAGGAGAGGCAGAGAAGCAGACTGGAGGACAAGCAGAGGATGGAAGGACGCAGGGCCACGGGCCAAGGGATGCGGGCAGCCTCTGGAAGCTGGAGACAGCACGAAGCAGATTCCCTCTTGGATCCCCCAGAAGAAACGCTGAACCATTTTAGACTCCTGACCTCCAGACTGTGAGAAGATGTGTTGCCTTAAGTTACTAAACATGTGGTAGTTTGTTACAGCAGCAACAGGAAGGTAACACACCACTATACTGGCATGAGAAACACCAGACTTGGTAACCTGTCCCCGCCTCACCAATGTCACAAACAGAAAGGTCATCAGGAATGCCAAGGAACATTGTCACACAGGTGGCTGATGGCAAGCCGGAGAACATTCTAATGATTAACTAGGACTCTCCCGTTCTCATTAGACGGCATTGTCACACACGAACCTTCAAGGGCATGCAGAGTTTTCACTTCTTCCACTCTAAATAAACCAACCAGTTTCCATACTTAGGAGTCCCATGTTTTTTTTTTTAAACTTATTTCCTATTCCACACTGAAAACATTGGGGCCAGGCATTGTCCCCGTCACTGTCCTGGGTCACTCGACTCCCTCCTCACCCACCGTCCGCCAGCCTGGCCTGGCCGCCTGGTGGTGGGCGGAGAGCGGCTCTTTGCACTGGGCCAGGGCGCCAGCGGCAGGCCGACGGGGCGCTGGGGATCCCTGTCATGGAAGCCTGGACCCGCTCCATTTTATACCGTGAGGCGGCCAACAGAGAGGGCTGCAGCTTGGGGCCCTGACCCCACAGTGGCTTCTGGGGCGAAGGCTCCCCCATGGCCTCGGCCACCATGCGGGGTACCTGGGCAAGTCCCCTTTGCACCCGCCCGCTGTGGCTTGGGCGGGGTCTGGCCACTTGGTCGGCCTGCAGCATCCCGCAGATCTGTGCTCTGGGGCGTGTCCTGTCGTTCCCCCAGCTCCTAGCACACTCAGTCCCGACCAGCGGGCTGCAGTGGGGGGCCGGGGCCTCCGCGGGCACCTTCGTGGGAAGGAGGCAAAGTCGCTGGGCTGGTGCGGAGGGGATGGATCAGGGTCCCCGCAGTGTGGTTGATGTGGAGACAGCACAGCCATCTGGCACCTGCTGTCTCTGGACTTGCCCCTCTCCCCACCAAGACTGAAATTGGTCCAGATTAAGAGATCTTTTTTAGAAGGTGTTCTTAAGCACCCCGACCACCCAAATGTGACAGTATTTCATGAGCAATGGATGGTGACAGTTTTACAGCAGGTGCTTCCCAACTAGGAGTTTCTGCAGAGCACACTGGGGGAAGTCATCACGTTGTGCAGTTTAATGATGACCCTGGGGGTGGCATGGACGATCATGGAGCCCCATGGTTCAAAAGAAAGTCTCAGAGAACAAGATAGATATTTTCCAAC